TATATATATTCAGTCATTCTTTAAATATTATGTGGTCCATCTTCATCTGTTGCATAAAGTTTCATTTCTTGGAGCTAATAGATTTCATTTCAATTTTTTGTCATGTCTCATTGCATAATGCCTCATTGCATAAGTAAGTATATCGTTTCCGCACCTATATATTTTCAAGAAGTACAAGATGTGTTAGCCCATCATGTCTCTTTGTACAAGAAGCAAAAGAATTGATGGGGTTATCTAGTAGATTTTTCTGTTTCTAAAAGTATAAAACACTGAAAAACAAGAAAAGATCTAACATATCTAAGACAACAAAATTTACTCTTTCTTATTTCCTTTTTGAAAAGGTAAATAGACAAACTTTCTTACATTTGATCAGTTATTTTTTGCTCATTCATTGATTCTTTAGTGTTACCTACCTCTCCCGCCATACAGAAAATACTAAGATATAGATATTCGTTTACCCGTGCGCAATTCTTCCTCACATCCTTATACATTTGAATTTGGCTAAACTTCTTAGAAATAGCAAATGAATTACAGACCAGACTGTAGCCTAAGGTTCATATCCATACACAATCCAAAGTAGAATGCTAGGAGCACACACACAATCTCTTATTACAACAATCAATGGGTTAGGAGTCAGAAAGCTATAAGAGCTATTTGATTAATGCACTCTATATAAAGCAATTAACAGATTTTTAAACAGAGATCCATACTAAGCTCCAGGTACTCTAATACCCGAAAAAGATATATATAAGAGACGTATATTCCTTACTAAGCTCCAGGTACTCCATGATAAGATGTATATTCCTTTTCTCCATTACTAATGCTGCTCATGCAGCATCCATTAAATATTTATTGATGTCTCGGCCTAAATTAGACAAAAAATTTCATAATCAAAGTGGTGCCGTCACATAATAAAGATAACAACTTCAAAAGGGAGTTCATTTTTTCTGTAACGAAATTCAAATCTATCTTATCATGTAGTAATATTTTCAAGTCAGGAGTCACCATTATTTGTATCAATATTTCTAACTCAAAACTATATGTTCTCCTTTTCTTTTGATAAAGATTAACTCTTTTAAACTATGATATTCTTATCTGAAATTATCAATGACAATGAAATACTAAAATAGCGAACAAATATTTCAACTTTGCATCTCTCTATATTTAAATTTCAATATACCATAATGGTTGACATAACATCAATGCACCCTTGAAGGAAACTACTGAAGATTTAAGAGCAAGGGAACGTTGAGATTTTAAACTTCTTTTTGAATAAAAGAGTGATGTTCCAACATTGTTATTACCAAAAAATCACAAAATAAAATAAAGTGAATGAGGCTTCAAAGATATCCTTGCAATTTCATTTTCTTTTATGTTACTTTCTCACATAAACTTGCGATTCAACAATCACTATTGGATGAAGCTGCAAAACTTAATGTAAGACACCAGACAAATTTTGTCTATTAGGATTACTTATAGTTCTAATTGGACTCATTAGCTTCTTGGATTTTCCTACCAAGAATTTGATTTGCCATGCTTGTTGCTCTCCTTTTCATTTATCTTCTCTGACTTTGTATCTATATTGATGTGTTACTGATCTAATAACTTTGATATTTTTTCACAGTGATGCAGGAATAAAGTATTTTTTTTTCAATTTGACATATTTAATTTTTTTTTCCTAAGTTAACATATTTAAAGCTCCCTATGTCTGTATATACTGTTAAATGGAAGTATGTGTTTGTCATTAACTTGATGCTTTTTCCTCTCTCCGTAAAATGCAGGAAAGTTTCCTTTATGTTAAGAAGAATCAATTAAATGTTGTTTTTCAACAGTAAAGTAAAGAAAAAATAATAGTTTTTAAGTAAATATCAAGATCACATTAGGTATTTTATTACTAATCAAAATTAGTTTCTTAATTGGTTGACTTATGGGAATATGATATATGCCAATACAAATTTTACGAAAATATTAGAGACATCTTTAAAGTACTATATTAAAAATATGCTAAAATTCCTTAAGCAAACAATGCAAGACATTTTAGCTTTAATAAGAAAAGTAGCCTGAAAACTTCCAGTAAAAGATGACAACGCGTCGATACACAAACCTTTACATCAACAACAAAATTATCATCCAATATTATGACATCAAGCTTTATTTGGCGACCCTGTTCCTTGAAAGCTCATAGCTAGACTAATATCAACCTTCAAGACAGATACAAAACAAATTATTATAGAAAATATCTTAGCCAAACTCGCATGATAGAGACATGAGAGTGAATATGAAAACTAAATTTGGAGGGTAAAAAACAAAACTACGAATAAAAGTTCTGAACATCAGTTAGTACAATTTTAAGATGCATATAGGCAAAGATAGAATTTTTCTTTCTGATTCCGACTTTTCAAAATATGAGCTCATTCAACTATCAAATATAATTTATGAGAGAGAGGGGAAAAATGAAGAATAAAAAGGACGAATGATGCTACTTTAAAATTAAGAAATAACACATCAAAAATGAAATGCGACAGAAAGAACATATTGAATGAAAGTTGTACTCCTTTGATCCAACAAGACCCGAAAAGGATAGCGCTTCAGCTATTATAATATCAAATTAGAAAATATTAAAATCATCATTAAATCCCGAGTCCATTTCTCAAAAGGTCACCGAAAGAAATTATTTATGAAAGTTACTTTACCTTATTTTGTAACTGCAAAATTATTATATTTTGTCAATTGTAACTCAAAAGTCACTCTACACTTTAGCGCATATTAAATATTATTGTTCATATTTCTTTTGCAACCCAACCATTTAAAAGATTAGAAACACCCATTTAAACATGACCCAGGCCGCTAAAGGAAAAATCGAAAATCGATGTGGCTCGATTATTTCGTAACAAATCCAATTAAGCAAAAGTAACTCATTAAGTAGCAATAGATAAATGTGGATCAATTTTTAAAGTATATAAGGAATAACGTAGAGAGAAGTAGAAATTACTGAGTAAATGATGAATTGGGTTCTCGCCAGTGTTAGAGTTGAAGAAGTTTATCCCACTCTAATATGTAGCGCACCAATTTACCTTGCAATTCAACCCATTTTGAAATCAATCAGTCAAAAAGTTCCCATGGAAAGATGGATGGAGAATAGGATGGATGACATAGTAACTAATTAATAAAAGAGAAGTAAGAATGAGGTGCAGTTTCCATTCATATGGTTTTAGATGAGATGAAAATTCATAAAATAAATAAATGTAATAAAATTCAAATGGAGTAAGAGAAGAATAAACCTGAGAGAACGGTTGAATCAAAGTAAGAGAACATTCCAGTTTATTTTGTTTGATGATGATGCAAGACGGAAGAAGCTGGTGAGGCTTTTAACACGGCTTCTTCACTTAAGCAAAGTATGGGTTAAAGTGAAATACCAATTATGCCCTTGGTCGACCATTTTCTATTTTCTATATAATAGATATAATATTGACATAAAAAGAATGAATGCTTAATATAGTGTTTATATATGTGTATTTAGAGTTGGACCCATGATTTGAAGGTCACAGGTTGTACTTTTTTATAACGATCTGACCGGTCGTTTTATTTTTTTAGAATCCTGTTCCCCTAAATAAGACTCCCCGTATGTGCTTTTACTGTTTTATGACTTGCGGGGATGGTTAGTTCGAGATTTGGAAGGGTTCAGGTCAGGGGCGGATCTATGTAGGGGCTTAAGGGTGGTACGACACCCGGGCGTCGTGTAAAATTCTATTTATATACTAGTATTTTATTAAACAATATGATATATGTATCGGGTGGCACCCGAAGGTCACAAAATGACTATGGGTGCCACGGTCGATTAGCCAAATTTCCACATGCGCAATCCAGGATCGAATCTCACCTAGTCCTAAGTTTGGTGTTATTTCTCCTTGTTGTCCAGTTGCTCCTCTTTTTCAATTCCTTCTATTTTCTTCATTTTTGTAGTTGCTCTTCTTTTTAATTCCTTCTATTTTATTTATTTTTGTAATTCCTTTCTTTGTATAACGTCATTATTATTATTTATTTAGAATTATATATTTGCTTCCTTTTTCTCATTCTAGATCTTCAAATTTTATTTGAATGTGATTTTAATCATCTAATGTTATATTTTTCTTGATTTTCATTTTTTTTTAAATGATGGCATAAAAAATCGTAATACTATCTAGCTATATGTAGGTTGATTAGGTGTATTTGCTAACTTAAATTTTATTATATTTTTTAATCATAATAAATAAAATTTGTATTGAGAGAATTAGATCGAATTGGATAGTTTTTTTGGTGATCACATTTTTATTTATGCACTAAAAATCTAGTAAACTGATTGAATTATTTCAAAATGGATTGGATCGAACCGAACCGAACTAATTCAAAATAGGTTGAACCGACAGAATGTACACCCTAATTCAATCTCCTTCACTAGTGGTGGGTTTGTATTAAGACTAATGACACCCGTAGTCATCAAATCCTGGATCCGCCTCTGGTTCGGGTTAAAATCGGAACACTTGGTTCCTTAAGTTGGCCTTAAAAGGCTAAGTTTGACTTCGGTCAATATTTTGAGTAAATAATCTCGGAATCGGGAATTAACGGTTCCAATAGGTTTGTATGGTAATTTCAGATTTGGACGTATACTCAGATCGGGTTGTGAATGATGCGGGAGCGCGTCAGCGCCTAATATTGAAAGTTAGTTCCTTGAAGGTTCTTGAAGTTCTTTAAATTTGGTTTAGAGTAGGTTTTGGTGATATCGAGGTCCGAATAGAATTCCGAGGCCGGGGTTAGTTCCGTAATGTCATTTAAGACTTGCACGCAAAATTTGGTGTCAATCCGAGTAGTATAAGTACGTTTCGGCGCTTTGGGAATAAATTGAAGAACTTAAAGTTCATATTTTTTATCCAATTGGTTTGGGGTGTGATTCTTAGTTTTAATATCGTTTTGGGCATTCTGAGGGTTTGAGCGGGTCTGTTTTATGATTTCAAACTTGTCGGTATGTTCGGGCAGGGCCTCGAGGCCCCCTAGGTATCTATCGGACGAGGCTCGAACCAAGTTGAAACTTGGGAGCAACAACTGAAGTTCCCAGCTACTAGTGTAATCGTACCTGCGCTTGGCCAGCCACAGGTGCAAGCTCGCAAGTGTGAGTTAGGAGCTGCAGAAGCGAGCAAGCCAAGGCTGCCCAGGATCTGCAGGAGCAAGGTGTTTGGCGCACCTGCGAACACGCAGGTGCGATGACGCTAACTGCAAAAGCGGTTGTGTCCGCAGGCGCGAAAGAGTCGGCCACAGGAGCGGTTGCATAGGAGCGACCCTGGCTCCGCAGGTGCTATGGGCGAGTGGCCAGGCTGGTTCTGCAGAAGCGGATTTTTGACTGCAAAAGCGGAAGTCCCTCCGCAGGTGCAAAAACCGTTGAAGGCAAAATCCTTCATTTAATGCGGGACTTAGTCATTTTGGCTCATTTATTCCATTGTTGGGCGATTCTTGGAGCTCTTAGAGAGGGGATTTTTATCTAACCCCTTGTGGTAAGTAGTTCCTACCAAATATGAGTCAAATACATAACTTATGGGTGGATTATAACATGTAAATTAGTGGAAATCATGGGTTTAGGAGAAAAACCTAGGGTTTTGATAAAAATGAGATTTAATCATGAAATTCGTTATGGAATCTAGTAAAAAAATTATATATTTGAGTTCATGAGGATAGGGGTAACAACTTTCTTTGAAAAGTTCCGAAATCCGGGCACGTGGGCCCGGGGTGAATTTGAAGAATCTTACATTTAGGGTTGGGTAACCTCTTTAATAGTTGGAATACGAACTTTTGAGCATGTATTGATTAGTTTATATACTATTTGATTAGTTTTGGGTTGATTCGGCAAAAATTGAGGGTGTGAGCACATTCTTGGACCGGGAAGTAGGCCTTGAAACGAGGTAAGTCTCTTTTCTAACCTTGTATGAGGGAATTATCCCCATAGGTGAACTTAATCATTATGTACTTCTATTTGTGGGGGCTACATACGTGCGAAGTGACGAGAGTCTGTGTGTATCTACTATTCATGCTTATGTCCAGGTAGATTTAGGCTTACACCATATTTGTTTTGATACCGTTACTTGTTTATACTTACTAATTGTTTGGATTAAAGAGGAGGTTGAGGATTTCAATATTTTAAAGGTTCCTAGCTGAATTTCTTATTTTGAAAAAGAATTGAGAAATATTATGATAACTTGAGAAAATCTATATTCAACCGCTTCGCAAGTATATTCCTTGAGCGGGGTAAATTTTCACTACTCTCATGGGAGCAGGTCGTTCGCCTAGGCAGGTTAATTGATGTATCTATGGTTAGGGTCGTTCACCTCAGCAGGTTAATTGATGTATCTATGGTTCGGGTCGTTCGACCCTCGGCAGTGCACAATATATTTATATGTATATTTGGATCGGGTCGTACGTTCTCGGCATAATTCGTGCGTAAAGATATTGGAATCCCTTTATATTTAATATTGTTCCATAGACTTGAAAGGTGATGTCACGCCCCAAACTAGGGGAGGCACGACTGGCACTCGATACTGTATTCGATCGAGTTAGCCACTAAACATACTAGCTNAAAGGACAAAGCTTAGCCTTAACATACCTCTCCAACGAACGTCCGAATGCCTGTAGTTCTTTCACGAAAGTTATTTCTTACGTCCTAAGCTTCGAAACCACTATATATATGCAGCTTATACGCACCTATAAATAGT